GCCACTCAAAATATTTTGTTATTGAATATTTTGATATTTATTTAATCACTCAAAATCTTGCCAAGGCGTATTCAGTAGGAGGGGTTAATATGAATTTAAAATAATTTGATATGATTTATATGAATCGGGTCATGAACATATGGACTTTGAAATGAACAAGGTAGAGGTTAAACGTAGGCTAAGTCTGACATAAGCTTATTCCCACACTTTACAATAACTCTGCAGTGGTCTTAGGTAGCTCGTCTACCAGTGGGAAAACAATTTGTCAGCCACCATTGTGCAGTTCTCCCCTAAAAAGATGAGAGAGGCCTGTAATTTCATCATAGCACAAGTCAACTATGGACGACAAAGTGAGAAAAAAAATCCAGAAAAACCTTTGTAGGATTTAAATAATTATTTGCAAATTATGGGGAAAATAAGTATTTGTACCTACAGCAAAAAGAGTTCTGGCTGTCACAGACCTGTAACTTCTTTTAAGAGGTCCATGTCCTCCATTTAACGTTAATGCACCTGTTTGAACTTGTATCAGATAAAAGATACTGTCCACAACAAACAGTCACATCCAAACTCATATGCCAAGACCAAAGAGCTGTCAAAGGGACACCAGAAAAAATGAGACCTAACCGGCTGGGAAACTGATCTGCAATATCTAAAGCTTGTTTTAGGATATCAAAATGGGGAAGCAATATTAGGCAATGGAATAAATAGTCACTTAGCATGCAATTTAGGCTCTCATTTGTCTATGGTGCTTGGCTCCACGCAAGATCTCACCCCGTGGGGTCAAAATGATCACAAGAACGGTGAGCAAAAATCCCAGAACCACACGGGGGGACCTAGTGAATGAACTGCAGAGAGCTGGGACCAAAGTAACAAAGCCTACCATCAGTAACACACTACGCCGCCAGGGACTCAAGTCCAGACGTGTCCCCCTGCTTAAGCCAGTACATGTCCAGGCCCATCTGAAGTTTGCTAGAGTGCATTTGGATGATCCAGAAGAGGATTGGGAGAATGTCATATGGTCAGATGAAACCAAAATATAACTTTTTGGTAAAAACTCAACTCGTCGTGTTTGGAGGACAAAGAATGCTGAGTTGCATCCAAAGAACACCATACCTACTGTGAAGCATGGGGGTGGAAACATCATGCTTTGGGGCTGTTTTCTGCAAAGGGACCAGGACGACTGATCCGTGTAAAGGAAAGAATGAATGGGGCCATGTATCGTGAGATTTTGAGTGAAAACCTCCTTCCATCAGCAAGGGCATTGAAGATGAAACGTGGCTGGGTCTTTCAGCATGACAATGATCCCAAACACACCGCCCGGGCAACGAAGGAGTGGCTTCGTAAGAAGCATTTCAAGGTCCTGGAGTGGCCTAGCCAGTCTCCAGATCTCAACCCCATAGAAAATCTTTGGAGGGAGGTGAAAGTCCGTGTTGCCCAGCGACAGCCCCAAAACATCACTGCTCTAGAGGATATCTGCATGGAGGAATGGGCCAAAATACCAGCAACAGTGTGTGAAAACCTTGTGAAGACTTACAGAAAACGTTTGACCTGTGTCATTGCCAACAAAGGGTATATAACAAAGTATTGAGAAACTTTTGTTATTGACCAAATACTTATTTTCCACCATAATTTGCAAATAAATTCATAAAAAATCCTACAATGTGATTTTCTGGAAAAAAAATTCTCGTTTTGTCTGTCATACTTGACGAGTACCTATGATGAAAATTACAGGCCTCTCTCATCTTTTTAAGTGGGAGAACTTGCACAATTGGTGGCTGACTAAATACTTTTTTCCCCCACTGTAGACTATTCCCTCCATCGTAGACTGCTGCCAATTTGAAGAGCTTGTGATCTCCATTTAGCACCAAAGCACCATGCTGCCTTCGGAAACGTACCCCTCAGCCTCAGAAGAACGGACCCTTCTGGAGGCAGTTAGGCCATAGAGTCATATAACCCTAATGGAGGCCTATTTGCCCTACTAGCCAAATAAAGTTCAGAGCATGCCATGAAAGAATGCCAACGTGTCATTCCAAATATTTGAACAGTGTAATTCATCCTTCATTCAGTTCAGTCAGTCCAGTATGTCATCCATTTCTGTAAATTTGTCTGAGTTGGAATGGGACCTAAATCAGAGAATAGAACAGTCTTATCCATTTGTTTATTGAAATCCTGTGCAATGATCTCAAATAGCTATCACTTTACTAATGAATGTTATTTAGGTATCCTAGGCTTCAGGTTCGAAATAAAATAGGCCTTCAAACTTGAATATAGGACCTCCTCAGGCTGACGACTCGCCTCCTGGCTTTGGTGCGCTAGCAGGCATAGGCTGAACCATTTTTTGACGACTCGCCCCCTTGGTTTGGTGCGAGTAGCCGGAACGAGCTGACCCAGGTTGACGACTCGCCCCCTTAGCCTGGTGCGAGTGGCAGGAACAGTCCGGGTTGGGCCGGCGACGCACACCGTAGTTTTGATGCGTGGAGCAGGAACCGGCCGGGCTGGGCTGGCGACGCACCCCTTTGGCTTGGTGCGTAGAGCGGGGACAGGCCGGGCTGGGCTGGCGACGCACCCCTTTGGCTTGGTGCGTAGAGCAGGAACGGGCAGAGCCGGGCTGACGAGACGCACCACAGGCTTGATGCGGAGAGCAGGCACGGGCCGTGCCGGACTGACGACGCACACCACTGGCTTGGTGCGGGAAGCTTGGATGGACCGGACTGTACTAGGGACACACACCACTGGCCCTACACCGGGATCTGGAACGGGCCGGACCGGACTGGCAACACACGCCAGTACCTCTCGCCGTGCCTCTACTTCCTCCATCCCCTCTTCGACCAGTGGCCCCCGTAACCCGGCGGCCTTCTCCAGCAACCCACTGGGCCGCTCTATCGCGCCTCCTGCTGGTCCGACGTCGTGAGCCCCCCCTAAAAAATTTCGGGGCGTCTCTCCTACCCGTGGACCAGGTCTCCATATCCCTCGCCACTCTCGCCCTTCTGCCATAGTGTCAAGCCCTTCTCCTCTCCTCTCGGTTGACGCAGTCCAGGAGGCGAAGGAGACTGTGAGGACTCCCTGCGACGGCTCCTGGACACCTGCTTGGTCCCATCTTGGTGGTTTTTTGTGTCACGATCGTCACAGAGGAGGACCAAATCGAGGTTGGTAGCAACATATTGATTTTAATGTATACACGAGAATAACAAACAAAACCGATCATGAAGTCCTCAGTGCAACGACTGAACATAGAAAAAACCAAACCCCAAGGTTTCTGGTTTAAATATGGCTCACAATCAAGCTAAGGCCAAGCTAACTACGCCACTATGGTGTAACGTCGTATTAAATCAATTCTAAACACAAAGCTTACCCTTTATTTAAATGAAACCGGCCAGAGCGTGACACAACTCTAACGTCTGGGCTAGAGTTGCTTGATTGACTAGCTAACTTTAACTAGCTATGTTCGGTTCATGTCCTTTGCAGATGCCACATTAATAACAAAGGTTTGTACGCATAATAAATATCTGTAACCGAGTAAAGGGAGACGTAAAGTAAGAATTGAATGTGTAAATGAAGGGTTTGTACGTTTACAGGTCTATTTTAACATTTACATTTCATGTTTCACGCATTGCTTTTCTTACGAACCTGAGAATTTACATATGGATAGTCTTACGATCCTAATGATACGTACGTTCAACCTTTTGACAGGTATCTGGCTCCATAGATGCGTCCCATGTAGAGAGGCTGGTGTCAGCAAGACTAGGCCAGCTTTGCCTCAGTAACGGGACATTGTCATCACAACAATAAGCACTGACCTTATACTCTAGGTATACCTGTATACAGGGTTGTACTCAATTCAGCTTTCTATTCAGGGAATTCAAATTTACTGAATTGAAAACGGAATTTACCTTCACTAGAATAGAATGCCAAAACATTATAGATGATGGTAACATTTTGCTAAATCGCAGTGTAACAGTCTTGCTTCCGTCCCTCTCCTTGCCCCAACCTGGGCTCCAACCAGGGACACTCTGAACACATCAACAGTCACCCTTGAAGCATTGTAACCTATTGCTCCACAAAAGCCATGGCCCTTGCAGAGCAAGGGAAACAACTACTTTAAGGTCTCAGAGCGAGTGACGTCACCGATTGAAACGCTCTCTCTCTCTCTCTCTCACAATCTCCTGTCTTCGGAGTATGTGGAGCGGCACTTTGATGACAAAGGAAGGCCATCTCAGAACAATGTAGGACTTGTTTTTCATCCATCCATTCACTGGGGTGCAGACATGAAGGTTTGCTCATGAGTGTCTAGAATGATCATCAAACGCAACAATATGAGAGAATTTCCGACCCTGGTTACAGTACCTATTATTCCACGTTTTGTTGCATTACAAAGGGTGTGTTCGTAAATTCACTGTGGAGTGCCAGCGAGCACTCAGAGTGTGCTCTGGGCGTTCGTAAATTCAGAGCGTTATCAGATTGTCCGTTCGTAATGTCAAAGCATTTAGCTCTCGGAGCGTTCAGAGCGCACACTGGACGCTCTGGCCAAGGAGTAGGGTTGATCCGAGCGTCTGCGAGAGTTTTATCCAATTTTAAAATGGCAGTGTCCGTAACGGCAAGATGTGATGGATGTGGCTATATTGATACACTTGAAGTTATAATTCAACATATTGACAAATGTAATGGCAAAACAAACCAAGGAGGTCATTTAGTTGTGTAACGTGAGCATGTGTTCATGAAGATTGAAGGTGGATGTAATTTATTACGTTCACTTACTAGGTAAGCTAATGTTAGCTAGCTAGCTAACTTAGCTAGCTAGCTAATTTAGCGAATGTTAGCTAGCCAAGTGTTTCCATCTTCTAATTGATCTAGGGGTTGTTATCTTCAACCTAGTAATTAATCAGCTGACAGTAGCCTTATATTGTTGTATTTCTTTTTATTTTGTAGAGTCAGGATCACTGCAGGAGCCAACCAGTGAGAGAGCAAGGGAGTCAGGGATTCAAGTAGCCAGTGAGCAAACCTCAGGAGTCAGTCAGGGAGCCATTGAGTAAGGGGTAGCAGGGTTCACCTGGGACCAGGCAGCGGTCCTTCTTCTCAATGCACTTTATGAACAATACAGATCTAATTTCCATTGCACTAGAAATGCAGAAGAAAGGCCATCAGGTCACAGGCCCCCAATGTGACAACAAGTGGAAGGGCATGTTAAAAGTGTACAAGGAGACCCTCTCTAATAACAGGAAGGGCAACATGCCCATATTTTAATGCGCTAGACACCCTCCTTCACAGATACCCCAACATCAACCCTGTGTCACTAGCCAGCAACATCAGTGGGTTTCAGCCCATGTTAGGTCTACCAATTGCTCCAAAGCCCACCGCTCAACCTGACCTGACACAAGCAGAGTCCACTGAGCCAGAGGACAATGCACACCAGCCAGAGGATGAGGGAGAAACAACACAATCTGCAGAGGAGCCAGCTTGGTTTAAAGATTACAGGGTGGAGGTTGATACACGACAGAAGGCAGCTGGAAAAGGGCATTGGAAGCACAGACACGCCACACAGAGAAGATGGCCATGATGAAGCAACTACTGGACCAACAGAGAACTGTAGTAAACATCCTCCAAAGCTTGAAGAAGTGAAGTGGTAAAAATTAAGAACCTGAAATGAAATGAATTTAAAGAAATTAAACAATGTTATTTATTAATTCTATATCAAATATGTATAGTCACAACAAAACAGGTTTAGTTTATTTATTTACAAGTTTATTATTTGTAGTAAATGAAATACATTGACTTTAATTATTCAATAAAAACTAACATTGTTTTCTGTTTTTGTTTGTTCAACTGTAAACTATGTGTCACGTTCGTTGTAATAAGGATTGGACCAAGGTGCAGCGTGGTATGCGTACATGTTTTAATTATTTAAATAAACAAAACAATAACAAAAGCAACTGAACGTGAAGTTCTAAACGCTAACAGCAACAAGCCTAAACAGAATACAGAAACAAGATCCCACAACTAAAGTTAGGCAAAATGGCTGCCTAAGTATGATCCCCAATCAGAGACAACGATCGACAGCTGCCTCTGATTGGGAACCACACCCGGCCAACATAGAAATATATAACCTAGAACAACTAGCATTCACACCCTGACCAAACTAACTAGAGACATAACAGGGCTCTCAAGGTCAGGGCGTGACACTATGTCATGTGGGCATACAGAGAGAAATGTGGGGGAGAAACAGAGAGAGAGAGCTGCAGTGGAATAGTAAGGGCTTGCTCCATCGCATACACACATCTTGAGGTGGGGTGCCCAACTCTGGTCCAGAGGCATGGGGTGGGTTTGGGTTTTAGCCTACAGCTCATGAGACAACAGGTGAGCAATGTAGTTCCGCTTCTGCGATGCAACAGGCATGACCCTCTCTTCATCATTGGCATCCTGCTCTTCTTCCTGTTCACCGTGTAGCCCCGGAGCACACCATCTATGGTATCATCATTGCAGAGGCAAATGTTGTGTAGCACACAACATGCGAGGATACAGAGTGGGATCAGGCCAGTGCGGTTCATATCAAGGTACTTCAGGTGCCTGAACCTTCCCTTCAGGTGGGCGAAGGACTTCTCTATTGTGCACCTTGTGGTGCAGAGTGAGTTGTTGAAGCTTTTTTGAACTCCTGATAGGTGGCCGTTGTCTTTGAAAGGAACCAGCAGCCATGGTTGTAGAGGGTATGCTGGATCCACCAGGATGTGGGTGTCATTGGGCACCATAGACTGCGGGTTGGTGGTAATCATCTGGTGCAGAGTTCCGGTACACCCTTGCATCATGCACTGAGCCGGGATAGGCACTATATACACTGGTGAAAAGCATTTTTGTCGTCGTGACGGCCTGGAGTTTCATAGAATGGAACGACTTTTGGTTGTTATATGTCTCAGGGTATTCTCGGGGGGCTTTGATAGGAATGTGTGTTCCGTCAATGGCTCCGATCACTCCAGGGAACTTAGCTGCCTTTGTGTGGCCACTGATGACCTCTTGTGCTCTGGCCCCTGTTGGCCAGATGATGACACGTGCAGAGAGATGAGATACGGCTTCGATCGACCTCTGAAAGCAGGCCTCGACCGTAGATTTTAGAAATATCGAACCTGTCGCCGATTCCCCTGCACAAAGGAATATCATTTATATTATGATATTATATACATTATGATATAACTGTTATAATAACATTATAACACTACTCTGAACCTAAATTCACTCTTTGCCAACTAGGCCTATCAGTCATGACTCGAGATCAAATCCAAATGATGCTGCAGTAACATGCAGTTTGTCATTACCACCACACGGCGTCAGAGCTACCATGTGCCTTTTAATACAGTGCTTTATGACAGTTGAAAGGTCATGTCAATATCATGCAAACAACACCGATAGACCATTTAGCAGGATGGATTTCTGGTGAGTTTTATTGCAGATCGCTTGCCGTTTCTTTTATTATATATTTTAAAATGTGCGAGTAACAGTCTGTGGCCCTGTTTACCTGTTGTCTGAGTATAATGACAACTTATTACAGTGTTTGAGGTAGCTAGGTCTATAATTGTATGTTGTTGGTCTGTGCACGTGTATGGACTACAGTAGATAGCTGTGATGGAGTTGGTTAGTTATGACGTTGCTTATTAATGGTGTGGTACTGTAGATTTGGGCATCATTTTGTCAAGTTCTGTACCTGATCACATCCATGATCATGATTAATTTATAATGGCACGACAATATTCACCTGAATGACTCCTGATTTCCTAGTAACCACAGAACAGTCATGAGCTGTTTGTCTGCTAGAATGGATGGCCGACCGACTGCCTGGTTGGTTATTTGGGTAGCTGTTTCCTCGCAGAGGATTTGGAAGGTGCTCCTTTTCATTCTGAAGTACATTTTGAAGTTGTCATCAATAGGTACAATTCTTTTCGGCATTGTCTGGAATCCGTGTGTGTGTAAGTTGCGGATTGGGTGTTAACATATTCAGGATTTCGATGTAAAAAACAAACAAATGAAAGACATTGTACTGTAGCAAGCTACCTATCTGTCTAGAACAGCCTGCTATGTTACTAGCTAAGGAAGTTCCATTATACTACTCTAGCTATTGCCATTCCTGACAATCAGCTGATTGCACTTGCTAACGTTAGCTAGGGTGACCATATTTTAGTTTTCAAAAAAGAGGACAGTGGGAGCGGGAGGCAGACGGACACCCGCAGTGGGTGGTAAATACAAATGCGTTCACAACCATGCAACTATGTTATTGAACCTTTAATACATAAAGTAATACATCCTTTCCATTCAACTGTTGGCCCTCAACTATAGAATAATAACAAAACAAAAACAATTGTTTAGCTTTTAACACCTTTTACATGACACTGTTTCTTTTCATGGCCATAGGTTAAAATAAAATAAAATAAACTGTTGTCATAAAAAAATCCACTATTTCAGTCAAAGATAATGTCAGTACTCCTGATGCTCTCTGGTATACTTTCCCGAAGATCGAATCTTTCCCAACAGTCCTTGATTGCAAAGTCTTTACAATAAGTTGTATTGTGTACACAGAAGCCCCTTCAGTGACTCAACAGACAAGTGATTCCTTTCCTTTGTCCACTGGCTTTGCATCAGTGAAAAAACTCTCTCTATATTTGCATTGTGAGAAGGAATAGCAAATAAAAACTGTGCAATCTTCAGTAGCTCTGAATGAAAATCTATGCTTTTGGACCTTTCAAAATATTTGGTCCACTTCTTGTGTGCTTGCAGATTACTGAACTCTCCATCACTGTTACACCGTTCTGTGAATTTCTTCAGGTTGGTGACCTGATCAAAGCACTTTGCATCATCAATTGGCATCCCCCTTTTCTCCCAGGTGTTTGATACAGGCTTTTATGTCATTCCAGTCAGGTGTCTCACTCAGATCCATCCACATGAAAGAGGAGAACTCATCCATGGGTGCCATCCATTTCTCCAGATACTCCAGGCATGAACTGTACAGACCCTGTACTTGAACACTGAAATGGTCACAATTCTTACCAAGTCCATCCTTGTGCTTTTGTGCCAATAGTCCCTTAACTTTAAGGGACATGAAGTTATTGGTCTTGCGTTCAAGAAGCATGGTGTGGACTTTGTTCAAAAGGTTCTTCACTTCCACAATTGAATTACTCTCCCTTTCCATCTCCTGAATGTGTGAATGAAACACACACATGAGTGAGTGCATGTGCCAGAGGTAAATTTCACTGAACTCATCTTCAAAGGAGGGTGTTTTTTCCTGTGACAAAAATAATGCTTTCAAGGCTGGAAACATCTGTAGCAGCCTCTCAATACCTGGGAATAATGACAGCCATTGCATCTTGCTGTGAGAAAGGAGACTTCTGTATTCAACATCAACAAATTCACAGTACTCCTTCAGATTCTCTGCGCGCACAGTGTAGATGTGAAAGTATTGACATATTTTGAAGATGATGTTCTCAATATCGTCATCTAGTGTGTCTGTCCCGTAATGAACACAATTGTTCAAGACGTGTGCTGGGCAGCCCACACCGATTAAAGACTTGTTCTGCAATGACTTCTTTAAGTTTGCGAAAACATTCTTTCCTTCTTCATCACGCCGGATTCCCCCGAACATTGTATTGCAGTTGTCACCTGTAAATGCAATACATTTTGAAAAAATCCCATTCTTTTCCAGTGTTTCTTTGATGTATTGCTCGATCGTATCAGCTGTCTCATTTGGAGTGTTTTTAACTTCGACTAATTTACTTTGCACGCCACCATTCTTCCAATCAAAATGCTGAATAAGCAGAGGGAATATTTTCACAGCACCGTGATTGCTCCCATCAGTAGAAACACCACACTAAGGTATGTCTTCTAGTGCTTTCAGAGCTGTGTCGACAGAATGTGGTGCTATCACAGCGTTAACAATTGCTTCGGTCTTAGTACGAGCGCTTGAAAATGTTCACGCAGTCTCGGAATCAGGGAAAGCCTTTTTTAACAAGGCAGATGTGCAGTCCATTGATCTGTAGCTATTGTGATGCTTCGTGGTGTGGAATGCAAAAACTCCCTCCGCAGCAGTAACATCTTCTGTTTTACCTGCTCTCACAAAATAGTCAGTTAATTTACCTGATGAACACTCTCCTTTAGCTGCAATTTTGTGTTTTGCGGAGCTTATGTGGGCTTCTAGGTCGCTAGCACCTTTATTTGACACTGACACGTACGTGCCAGCTTTGCAGGTCATGCATTCTGCTTCACACGGATCCTGACCAAGACGAAAACACAGGAATTTTCTCTGTAAATCGTCTGTGAATTTACATTTGCGTTTGGGCATTTTTACCCTGTTCTGGAGCCATGTGCCACTGTTGACAAGCAAGCTGCTGCTCTGTCTCTTGGCTGTTGCCATGGTGAGGGTAATGATTGAGATGCAGTTTGACCAATGTTTGCGTAGGCCTACATGACCGACCAATGGTGGCGTGTGAGAAGGCGGGACCTAAAGAGAAAGGTCAAATAAATGCAAAACCCCAAAAATGCACACAATGAATGGCGACTGTAGAAAGCAAAAGCCGAATCCCGGACATTTTGGGCGATTTAGAAATCCCGGCCGGACGCATTTTTTTAGGTCCAAGAAGAGGACATGTCCGGGAAAAAGAGGACGTATGGTCACCCTAACGTTAGCTAGCCAGCTAGCTAGCTAGCTAACTTGATGTTACTGTAGCTAAACAGTAACAAGGTTAGTGACACGCCAAATGCATGTTGCAAGGCCAATGTGTTGATCTTACATTGTCTTCATTACTGTCTCTGTCAACCAGAGTCTCTGTTTTCAGCCATTTTTATTTGTGAACCGTTTTGTCGTTCGTAAATTTGTCATTATCAAAATTGTCAAAGACTCCAGCCACCCTAGTCATGGACAGTTCTCTCTGCTACCGCACAGCAAGCGGTACCGGAACGCCAAGTCTAGGTCCAAAAGGCTCCTTAACAGCTGCTACCCCCAAGCCATAAGACTCCTGAACAGCTAATCAAATGGCTACCTGTACTATTGGCTACTCTCTATTTATTATCTCTGCATAGTCACTTTAACTCTACCTACATGTACATATTACCTCAATTACCTCGACTAACCTGTGCACCCGCACATTGACTCTGTACCGGTACTGTCACGGTTTCGGCCGAGACTGCTCCTCCTCCTGGTTCGGGCAGGCTTCAGCGTTCGCCGTCCCCGGAGTACTAGCTGCCACCGTTGTATGTTTCGTGGTGTGATTGCTTTAGTCTGTCTTGTACACCTGTGTCTGTTTGTGTTCTGATTACGTGTCCTATAAGTTCCCTGTTTTGTATTAGTTAGATTGTGTGTTGTTGTTTGCCTGTCGTGCGGAGCTGCGTGTTTGCGCTCTGTTAGTTTATTGTTTTACGCATGTTGCGTAATTCCCTCGCCTCCATTTGTTTTCGAGGTCGTGTATTGTTTTGTTGCACTTTGGACTAGTAAAGTCTTTTGGACGAATCCTCTATGTCCTGCGCCTGACTCCTCCACCACATCCACATCGGTTCTTTTGACAGAACAACACACCCAACTATGGAGTCAGCAGGAGCAGCGGCGGCACCCAAGTCGCTGGAAGAACGGATCAGCTATCAAGACACCATGATCCGGCAACTTGGGGCCGCCATGGACGAGGTGTCCAACACTCTGCGCCGGTTGGTGACTGGAGAGGTGCCCACGCCTTCTTACTCCATCCCATCACCAACGGCCAGTCCTCCTCTCTCAGCACCGGAACCCAGTGGCATTCGGCTCTCGCTCCCGAGGGCATATGACGGTTCTGCAGCTGGGTGTCAGGGGTTCCTCCTGCAGGTGGAACTCTACCTGGCTACCATACACCCAGCGCCCTCGGGATACGAGAGCGTCTCCGCCCTCATCTCCTGTCTATCCGGCAAGGCGTTGGAGTGGGCCAACGCCGAATGGAGGGGAATAGACGCCGCTACCATCACCTACGCGGAGTTCTCCCGCAGCTTCAGGGCTGTCTTCGATCACCCACCTGAAGGGAAAGCTGCGGGGGAGCGTCTGTTCCACCTCCGACAGGGGAAGAGGAGCGCACAGGAGTTCGCACTGGAGTTCCGGACGCTAGCGGCGGATGCGGGGTGGAATGAGAGGGCCCTCATCGACCATTACCGGTGCAGCCTACGAGAGGACGTTCGTCGTGAGCTGGCCTGCAGGGACACCAACCTATCATTCGACCAGTTGGTGGACATCTCCATACGTCTCGACACCCTGCTGGCTACCCGCGGACGTCCCGAGTGGAGGCCGACCATTCCACCCTCCAGCACCTCCGAGCCGATTCCCATGGAGCTCGGGGGTGCTGGCGCTAGAGAGAGGAGGAGAGAGAACCCGAGGGGGGCCACCCCCTGCACCAACTGTGGCCGTGGAGGACACACCGCGGCCAGGTGCTGGGGAGGGTCTCCTGGGAGAGGGGACAGCAGGTCACGCACTGGTGAGTCATTTCAGGTGAGTAGGCGCCCCACTTACCCAGAGCTTTCTGTTGGTCACATGAGTATTCCTGTGAGATTTCCACAGGTGGCACCTCATTCCCAGCATAAGGCGCTAGTAGATTCAGGCGCAGCTGGGAATTTTATTGATCGGGCATTTTGTTATAGGTTTGGAATTCCCCTTCGGCCGGTAGAAGCCCCCTTTCCTGTCCACGCCTTAGACAGCCGGCCGTTGGGGTCGGGGCTGATCAGAGAAGTCACAGCACCACTTACTATGACGACGCAGGGGGGTCATGAGGAGATCATTCAGTTTTATCTGATTGACTCTCCTGCGTACCCCGTGGTGTTGGGGCTTCCCTGGTTAAGCACCCATGATCCTACCATTGGGTGGCAACAGAGGGCTCTTATGGAGTGGTCTGCCCAGTGTGTAGGGAGATGTCTAGGTGTTTCCTTAGGGGCGACCTCGGTTGAGAGTCCGAACCAAGTGCCCGCAATGCGCATTCCCCCTGAGTATGAGGACTTAGCAATCGTGTTCAGCAAAACGAGGGCAACACGGCTACCACCTCATAGACAGGGGGACTGTGCGATAAATCTCCAAACAGGAGCGGCTCTTCCGCGGAGCCGTGTGTATCCCCTGTCTCAAGAGGAGACAGCGGCTATGGAGACTTACATAGCCGAGTCCTTGGCACAGGGATACATACGGTCCTCCACTTCCCCGGTTTCCTCGAGTTTCTTCTTTGTGAAGAAGAAGGACGGGGGTTTGCGCCCATGTATTGATTACCGTAGTCTCAATCAGATCACGGTTAAGTACAGTTACCCTCTTCCACTGATTGCGACTATGACGGAGTCATTACGCGGAGCGCAGTTCTTCACAAAGTTGGATCTCAGGAGCGCGTACAATCTGGTGCGCATTAGGGAGGGGGATGAATGGAAAACGGCATTTAGCACCACCTCGGGTCATTACGAGTATCTCGTCATGCCATACGGGCTAATGAATGCTCCTTCAGTCTTCCAATCCTTTGTTGACGAGATTTTCCGGGACATGCATGGGCAGGGTGTGGTAGTGTACATCGACGACATCCTAGTGTACTCTTCTACACGAGCCGAGCATGTAGCCCTGGTGCGCCGAGTGTTGAGAAGACTGTTGGAGCATGACTTGTATGTCAAGGCAGAGAAATGCCTGTTCTTCCAGGAGTCCGTCTCCTTTTTGGGTTATCGGTTGTCCGCGTCTGGTGTGGAGATAGAGGTAGACCGTGTGTCGGCCGTGCGTAATTGGCAAACTCCAACCACTGTAAAAGAGGTGCAGCAGTTCTTGGGTTTTGCTAATTACTACCGGAGGTTTATTCAGGGCTTTGGACAGGTTGCAGCGCCCATTACGTCCCTGTTAAAGGGGGGTCCGGTTCGTCTGCAGTGGTCAGCTGAGGCGGACAGGGCATTTGTCAAACTGAAGAACCTGTTCACCTCGGCCCCGGTGCTGGCGCATCCGGATCCCTCTTTACCATTCCAAGTAGAGGTAGACGCGTCCGAGACCGGTATTGGGGCAGTCCTGTCACAACGGTCCGGCACGCCACCTAAGCTCCGCCCCTGTGCGTTCTACTCTAAGAAACTCAGCTCGGCGGAGCGCAATTATGACTTTGGGGACAGGGAGCTGTTAGCTGTAGTCCAGGCCCTAAAGGTGTGGAGGCATTGGCTTGAAGGGGCTCAACACCCTTTCCTCATTCTGACCGATCACCGTAACCTGGAGTACATCCGGGCAGCTAGGAGATTGAACCCTCGTCAGGCTAGGTGGAACATGTTCCTGACCCGGTTTGTTTTTAAGATCACATACATCCCAGGGTCCCAGAACGGTAAGGCAGACGCCCTGTCCCGGCGGTATGACACAGAGGAGAGGTCCATTGAGCCCACTTCCATACTGCCGGAGTCTTGTCTGGTGGCTCCGGTGGTATGGGAGGTCGATGCGGAAATCGAGCGGGCACTGCGTGCCGACCCTACTCCCCCCGAGTGTCCTGTGGGGCGGAAGTACGTTCCGCTCGAGGTTCGTGATCGTCTTATTTATTGGGCTCATACATCACCCTCCTCTGGACATCCAGGTATTGGCCGGACAGTGCACTGCCTTAGCGTGAAATACTGGTGGACAACGTTAGCTAAGGATGTGAGGGTTTATGTCTCCTCCTGCTCGGTGTGCGCCCAGTGTAAGGCGCCTAGACATTTGCCCAGGGGTAAGTTACATCCCCTGCCCGTTCCACAACGACCATGGTCCCACCTCTCGGTGGATTTTGTGACCGATCTACCCCCTTCCGAGGGGAATACCACCATTTTGGTCGTTGTGGATCGGTTTTCCAAGGCCTGTCGTCTCCTCCCAATGCCGGGTCTCCCTACTGCCCTACAGACCGCCGAGGCCCTATTTACCCACGTGTTCCGGCACTATGGGGTCCCCGAGGATATTGTGTCTGACCGAGGTCCCCAGTTTACCTCCAGAGTCTGGGGGGCGTTCATGGAACGCTTGGGGGTCTCGGTGAGCCTTACCTCGGGGTACCACCCAGAGAGCAATGGGCAGGTTGAACGAGTCAACCAGGATGTGGGTAGGTTTTTGAGGTCCTATTGCCGGGACCGGCCGGAGGAGTGGTCCAGGTATATCCCCTGGGCAGAGATGGCCCAGAACTCTCTCCGCCACTCCTCCACCGGTTTAACACCTTTCCAGTGTGTTTTAGGGTATCAGCCGGCCCTGGCACCGTGGCACGAGAGCCAGATCGAGGCCCCTGCGGTGGACGAGTGGATTCGGCGCTCGGAGGAGACGTGGGACGCTGCCCATGTCCATCTGCAGCGGGCCATCCGTCAACAAAAGGCGAGCGCCGATCGCCACCGCAGTGAGGGACCGGTGTACGCACCGGGAGATCGAGTCTGGCTCTCGACTCGAAACCTGCCCCTCTGCCTGCCCTGCCGGAAGCTGGGTCGGCGGTTTGTGGGGCCCTTCAAAGTCCTGAGAAGATTGAACGAGGTGTGTTACAGGTTACAACTGCCTATTGAGTACAAAAATATTAACCCCTCGTTCCATGTGTCTCTTCTCAGGCCGGTGGTAGCTGGCCCACTCCAAGAAGATGAGATAGGAGAGACCCCTCCGCCCCCTTTGGACATCGAGGGGGCCCCGGCGTACAGGGTCCGGTCCATCTTGGACTCGAGGTGCCGGATGAGTGGTCTCCAGTATCTCGTGGAGTGGGAGGGGTACGGTCCGGAGGAACGGTGCTGGGTGCCTAGGAGGGACATCCTCGATCCATCCCTCCTGACTGAGTTCCACCGTGGGCATCCCACGCGTCCGGGTCCGCGTCCTCCTGGCCGTCCCCGAGGCCGGGGTCGGCGCACGGCTGGAGCCGCGCGTCAAGGGGGGGTACTGTCACGGTTTCGGCCGAGACTGCTCCTCCTCCTGGTTCGGGCAGGCTTCGGCGTTCGCCGTCCCCGGAGTACTAGCTGCCACCGTTGTATGTTTCGTGGTGTGATTGCTTTAGTCTGTCTTGTACACCTGTGTCTGTTTGTGTTCTGATTACGTGTCCTATAAGTTCCCTGTTTTGTATTAGTTAGATTGTGTGTTGTTGTTTGCCTGTCGTGCGGAGCTGCGTGTTTGCGCTCTGTTAGTTTGTTTATTGTTTTATGCATGTTGCGTAATTCCCTCGCCTCCATTTGTTTTCGAGGTCGTGTATTGTTTTGTTGCACTTTGGACTAGTAAAGTATTTTGGACGAATCCTCTGTGTCCTGCGCCTGACTCCTCCACCACATCCACATCGGTTCTTTTGAAAGGTACCCCCTGTATATATCCTTGCTACTGTTATTTTACTGCTGCTCTTTAATTATTTGTTATTTTTAGTTTTAGTTATCTATTTTTTACTTAACACTTATTTTTCTTAAAACTGCATTGTTGGTTAAGGGCTTGCATGTGACAAATACAATTTGATTTGACTCACTCTGTGTGCAATAATAAGGGTTAACATGATTTGAACTCCAAGTACATATAGAACACATGGCAATTCATTTGCTTAGGCATTAATCATGCAAACACATTTATTTTTTATTAACAAGATAGAAGATAGAGTTTTGTTGACGCTGAGAACAGAATGTATATGTTATTAAATAATATTCTTAAAACGTTCTTTGAACATTACTAATGTTTTCTTGTGGCTTCTATAGAAAGTTTTCTTAATGTTTCTGAGAACATGACATTAAATTCAACCATGAGGAAGCCTGTAGAAAACGTTATGCTGAAGTATGCACTGTATTTGGAGAGTTTCTCCCATTTTCTTCTCTGCAGATACTCTCAAGCTCTGTCAGGTTGGATGGGGATCGTCGCTGCACAGCTATTTTCAAGTCTCTCCAGAGTTTTCGATTGGGTTCAAGACTGGCCACTCAAGGACATTCACAGACTTGTCCCGAAGCCACTCCTGCATTGTCTTGGCTGTGTGCTTAGGGTCGTTGTCCTGTTGGAAGGTGAACCTTTGACCCAGTCTGAGGTCCTGAGTGCTCTGGAGCAGGTTTTCATCAAGGATCTCACTGTACTTTGCTCCGTTCATTATTCCCTCGATCCTGACTAGTCTCCCAGTCCCTGCCGCTGAAAAACATCCCCACAGCATGATGCTGCCACCACCATGTTTCCCCGTAGGGATGGTGCCAGGTTTCCTCCAGACGTGACGCTTGGCATTCAGGCCAATGAGTTCAATCTTGGTTTCATCAGACCAGAGAATCTTGTTTCTCATGCTCTGAGAGCCAGGGCATTGAAAATGGGTCGTGGATGGATATTCCAGCATGAGAATGACCCAAAACACATGGCCAAGGCAACAAAGGAGTGGCTGAAGAAGAAGCACATTAAGGTCCTGGAGTGGCCTAGCCAGTCTCCAGACCTTAATCCCATAGAAAATCTCCTTCGTTGCCCGGGTGGTGTGTTTAGGATCATTGTCATGCTGAAAGACCCAGCCACGTTTCATCTTCAATGCCCTTGCTGATGGAAGGAGGTTTTCACTCAAAATCTCACGATACATGGCCCCATTCATTCTTTCCTTTACACGGATCAGTCGTCCTGGTCCCTTTGCAGAAAAACAGCCCCAAAGCATGATGTTCCCACCCCCATGCTTCACAGTAGATATAGTGTTCTTTGGATGCAACTCAGCATTCTTTGTCCTCCAAACACGACAAGTTGAGTTTTTACCAAAAAGTTATATTTTGGTTTCATCTGACCATATGACATTCTCCCAATCCTCTTCTGGATCATCCAAATGCACTCTAGCAAACTTCAGACGGGCCTGGACATGTACTGGCTTAAGCAGGGGGACACGTCTGGCACTGCAGGATTTGAGTACATGGCGGCGTAGTGTGTTACTGATGGTAGGCTTTGTTACTTTGGTCCCAGCTCTCTGCAGGTCATTCACTAGGTCCCCCCGTGTGGTTCTGGGATTTTTGCTCACCGTTCTTGTGATCATTTTGACCCCACGGGGTGAGATCTTGCGTGGAGCCCCAGATCGAGGGAGATTTTCAGTGGTCTTGTATGTCTTCCATTTCCTAATAATTGCTCCCACAGTTCATTTCTTCAAACCAAGCTGCTTACCTATTGCAGATTCAGTCTTCCCAGCCTGGTGCAGGTCTACAATTTTGTTTCTGGTGTCCTTTGACAGCTCTTTGGTCTTGGCCATAGTGGAGTTTGGAGTGTGACTGTTTGAGGTTGTGGACAGGTGTCTTTTATACTGATAACAAGTTCAAACAGGTGCCATTAATACAGGTAACGAGTGGAGGACAAAGGAGCCTCTTAAAGAAGAAGTTACAGGTCTGTGAGAGCCAGAAATCTTGCTTGTTTGTAGGTGACCAAATACTTATTTTCCACCATAATTTGCAAATAAATTCATAAAAAATCCTACAATGTGATTTTCTGGATTTTTTACTCTCAATTTGTCTGTCATAGTTGACGTGTACCTATGATGAAAATTACAGGCCTCTCTCATCTTTTTAAGTGGGAGAACTTGCACAATTGGTGGCTGACTAAATACCTTTTTTTCCCCACTGTATCTTAGTGTCCTTGGGCACGGGGACTATGGTGGTCTGCTTGAAACATGTTGGTATTACAGACTCAATCAGGGACATGTTGAAAATGTTGGTGAAGACACTTGCCAGTTGGTCAGTACATGCTCGGAGTACACGTCCTGGTAATCCGTCTGGCCCTGCGGCCTTGTGAATGTTGACCTGTTTAAAACTCTTACTCACATCGGCTACGGAGAGCGTGATCACATAGTCATCCGGAACAGCTGATGCTCTCATGCATGCTTCAGTGTTGCTTGCCTCAAAGCGAGCATAGAAGTGGTTTAGCTCGTCTGGTAGGCTTGTGTCACTGGGCAGCTCGCGGCTGTGCTTCCCTTTGTAGTCTGTAATAGTTTTCAAGCCCTGCCACAATCCGACGAGCATCAGAGCCGGTGTAGTACGATTCAATCTTAGTCCTGTATTGACTCTTTGCCTGTTTGATAGTTCGTCGGATGGCAAAGCGGGATATCTTATAAGCGTCCGGGTTAGAGTCCCGCTCCTTGAAAGCGGCAGCTCTAGCCTTTAGCTCAGTGCGGATGTTGCCTGTAATCCATGGCTTCTGGTTGGGGTATGTATGTACGGTCACTGTGGGGATGACGTCATCGATGCACTTATTGATGAAGCCAGTGACTGATGTGGTGCACTCCTCAATGCTATCTGAAGAATACCGGAACATGTTCCAGTCTGTGCTAGCAAAACAGTCCTGTAGCTTAGCATCTGCGTCATCTGACCACTTTTTTATTAACCGAGTCACTGGTGCTTCCTGCTTTAGTTTTTGCTTATAAGCAGGAATGAAGAGGATAGAGTTATGGTCAGATTTGCCAAATGGATGGCGAGGGAGAGCTTTGTATGCGTCTCTGTGTGTGGAGTAAAGGTGGTCTAGAGTTTTTTTTCCTCTGGTTGCACATTTAACATGCTGGTAGAAATGAGGTAGAACGGATTTAAGTTTCCCTGCATTAAAGTCCCCGGCCACTTGGAGCGCTGCCTCTGGATGAGCGTTTTCCTGTTTAGTTATGGCCTTATACAGTTCATTGAGTGCAATCTTAATGCCAGCATTGGTTTGTGGTGGTAAATAGACAGCTATGAAAAATATAGATGAAAACTCTCTTGGTAAATAGTGTGGTCTACAGCTTATCATAAGGTACTCTACCTCAGGTGAGCAAAACCTTGAGACTTCCTTAGTATTTGATTTTGTGCACCAGCTGTTTTTTTTACAAATATACACAGACCGCCACCCCTTGTCTTACCGGAGTCAGCCGTTCTATCTTGCCGATGTAGCGTATAGCCCGCTAGCTGTATGTTGTCCATGTCGTCGTTCAGCCACGACTCGGTGAAACATAAGATATTACAGTTTTTAATGTCCCGTTGGTAGGATAAGCGTAATCGTAGGTCATCTCATTTATTCTCCAATGATTGAAGATTGGCTAATAGGATTGATGGAAGAGGCAGTTTACTCGCTCGCCGTCGGATCCTAACGAGGCCCCCAGACCTACGTCCACGATATCTCTGTCTCTTTCTCCTGCGAATGACGTGGATTTGGGCCTTGTCGGGTGTCTGTAGGATATCCTTCGCGGCCACCTCGTTGAAGAAAAAATATTTGTCCAATACGAGGTGAGTAATTGCTGTCCTGATATCCAGAAGCTCTTTTTGGTTATAAGAGACGATGGCAGAAACATTATGTACAGAATAAATTACAAATCACGCGAAAAAACACACATAATAGTACAATTGGTTAGAGGGCTGTAAAATCGGGCCGTTAGAGGGCTGTAAAAGACGAGAGTGCTTTGAAATCGGAGTAGATAGCCAGAGCGAATTTACGAACGCACCCTTAGTGTTTGTCATGGAATGTTGAGTCAAATAGAACCCATTTTTAAAACCTCTTATAAAGTTGGTTTTGTAGCATAAACTGGGATTTCAGAACTGACACCCCTATTGTTCGCATTCCAGCACAGCTGTTGCTTCATCAACTATATCTCCATTTCCTCCATTTCCTCCATTTTGTCCGAACTACTCGCCGCCATTTCCAACTCACTCCTCAATGGGGCACGTTCAGCCAAGTTGTTACATTGAAATCCTGACCTCGGTCACAGAGGCCGGTTTCTGGAACTCTCTGGGCTTCCCCCTCCATCTGTCATCCAACATTATGGTGCATTACTGTACTGGAGTGTGGGACAGAGACAGGGAAAAACTAAATCCTACCTGCCAGCCCCGTTGAGCTTAAAAAAGATAACTACATATTTGAGACTATATCTAATGACGTTCTACGCAATATACTCTTTAAACTAATTTCCTGTATCCCCTTCTCCCTCATACTAGATCTCAGTCTCTCACTTTCCCTCTGATACTGCCCACGCTGCAGCAATACATGCTACACAGTCTCTGTTTCCTGGCAATAATCACACTTTCCTGTTGGATGTTTTCTTATCACATTTAAAGTCTTATTCAAGTGTCCCACACTTAATCTTGTAAAAAATAGCCTCCTCTCTTCTCTCCATTCCTGCCGTCCTCCACTCCCAACTTTCATCTGTACTTGAAATAAATGCCTGCCCTTAGTATCTCTATTCCACTGCTCCTGCCATCTCTGCACCATCACTGTCCAGATCAGGCTTTGTCCACTGCCTTGCTCATTGAAACTACAACATCCCCACTACTAAGTGCTTGTTTAGCCAGCACATCAACTGCCTCATTCCCCTCCACCCCCACATGGGCTGGGACCCAAGTAAATCTTATCTGTATACCCATCGGTCTAATCCTGCCATGGGTTTGTAGTACATCATAAAACAGGTCTGGTCTGCTACGTGAGGTAAAGGACCGCAGACTCATCAACACTGCACATAAATCAGAGCAAATAACTACTCTGTCCGGCTTGACTTCCTCACCCATTGTTTCCTGACTGCCACCCCACATTCCTGCACTACAAATGCTGACCCAGTACGTCCTGTCCTTGGATCTTTTGAACCATCTGTGTAAATGGCCACAAAATCCTGAAACACAGTATCCAGACGTCTCTTAAACAAATCAGATGGATCAACACCCTCCCTATCTTTCTGTAGTCTCTCCAACAATTCTAGATCAACCACTGGAGGTGGGAGTAGCCATGGTGGATTTACAAGAATAGCTACCATTGGACTAAACTCCCTTCCATATAGTACCATCTCCCTCGCCTGGGTATTGCCCACCCACCCAAAGCTCGTGTACTGTCCTCGCTCATGTTACCAGCATGCCTGTAAAATCCCTTTCACAGGATGAGACACCCCATGTCCCTGTAGGTTGACCCAATAATTCATTGCCAGCTGCTGTCTCTTAATCTGCAATGGCATATCCCCCATCTCCACCTGTAGTGCAGCCACTGGGGACGTCCGAAATACCCCACTACATATTCTGAGTCCTTGCCCCTGTATGACATCTAGCCTTTTCAATGAGGTCCGGGCTGCCAAATCATACGCTACACTGCCATAGTCTATTACAGATCGGATCAATGAAACATACATGGTCCTCAATGAGGAACGCCCAGCCCCCCACTCCTTCCCCGTCAGACAGCGCATCACATTTAGCACCTTCTTACACTTTCCCACCACTCTCTCAATGTGTTCTGCCCAGGTCAGCCTAGTGTCAAAGTATACCCCAAGGAACGTGAAGGCCCCCACCATCTCCAAGTTTCACCCATATAACCTCAAGCGTACCTCATCTCCCACCTTCCTCCTGGTAAGGAACACTGTCAGTTATCTCTACAGAGAACCTGAATCCCCACATTAATCAAATCAAATCAAATCAAATTGTATTGGGCCACATGCGCCGAGTACAACAGGTGCAGACATTACAGTGAAATGCTTACTTACAGCCCTTAACCAACAGTGCATTGGTGCGGTGGTACCGGTGCAGAGTCAATGTGCAGGTGCACTGGCTAGTTGAGGTAGTTGAAGTAATATGTACATGTGGGTAGAGTTAAAGTGACTATGCATAAATAATAAACAGAGTAGCAGCAGCGTAAAAAGATGGGGTGGGGGTGGGGGTGGGGGGGGGGGGGGGGGGGCAGTGCAAATAGTCTGGGTAGCCATGATTAGCTGTTCAGGAGTCTTATGGCTTGGGGGTAGAAGCTGTTGAGAAGTCTTTTGGACCTAGACTTGGCACTCCGGTACCGCTTGCCGTGCGGTAGCAGAGAGAACAGTCTATGACTAGGGTGGCTGGAGTCTTTGACAATTTTGAGGGCCTTCCTCTGACACCGCCTGGTATAGAGGTCCTGGATGGCAGGAAGCTTGGCCCCAGTGATGTACTGGGCCGTACGCACTACCCTCTGTAGTGCCTTGCGGTCGGAGGCCGAGCAGTTGCCATACCAGGCGGTGATGCAACCAGTCAGGATGCTCTCGATGGTGCAGCTGTAGAATTTTTTGAGGATCTGAGGACCCATGCCAAATCTTTTCAGTCTCCTGAGGGGGAATAGGCTTTGTCGTGCCCTCTTCACGACTGTCTTGGTGTGTTTGGACCATGATAGTTTGTTGGTGATGTGGACACCAAGGAACTTGAAGCTCTCAACCTGTTCCACTACAGCCCCGTCGATGAGAATGGGGGCGAGCTCAGTCCTCTTTTTTTTTCTTGTAGTCCACAATCATCTCCTTTGTCTTGGTCACGTTGAGGGAGAGGTTGTTATCCTGGCACCACACGGCCAGGTCTCTGACCTCCTCCCTATAGGCTGTCTCATCGTTGTCGGTGATCAGGCCTACCACTGTTGTGTCGTCGGCAAACTTAATGATGGTGTTGGAGTCGTGCCTGGCCATGCAGTCATGGGTGAACAGGGAGTACAGGAGGGGACTGAGCACGAACCCCTGAGGGGCCCCCGTGTTGAGGATCAGTGGGGCAGATGTGTTGTTACCTACCCTTACCACCTGGGGGTGGCCCGTCAGGAAGTCCAGGATCCAGTTGCAGAGGGAGGTGTTTAGTCCCAGGATCCTTAGCTTAGTGATGAGCTTTGAGCGCACTATGGTGTTGAATGCTGAGCTGTAGTCAATGAATAGCATTCTCACGTAGGTGTTCCTCTTGTCCAGGTGGGAAAGGGCAGTGTGGAGTGCAATAGAGATTGCATCATCTGTGGATCTGTTGGGGCGGTATGCAAATTGGAGTGGGTCTAGGGTTTCGGGGATAATGGTGTTGATGTGAGCCATGACCAGCCTTTCAAAGCACTTCATGGCTACAGACGTCAGTGATATGGGTCGGTAGTCATTTAGGCAGGTTATCTTAGTGTCCTTGGGCACGGGGACTATGGTGGTCTGCTTGAAACATGTTGGTATTACAGTGACATGTTGAAAATGTCAGTGAAGACACTTGCCAGTTGGTCAGCACATGCTCGGAGTACACGTCCTGGTAATCCGTCTGGCACTGAAGCCTTGTGAATGTTGACCTGCTTAAAAGTCTTACTCACATTGGCTACGGAGAGCGTGATCACATAGTCATCCGGAACAGCTGGTGCTCTCATACATGCTTCAGTGTTGCTTGCCTCGAAGCGAGCATAGAAGTGGTTTAGCTCGTCTGGAAGTCTTGTGTCACTGGGCAGCTCGCGGCTGTGCTTCCCTTTGTAGTCTGTAATAGTTTTCAAGCCCTGCCACATCCGACGAGCATCAGAGCCGGTGTAGTACGATTCAATCTTAGTCCTGTATTGACTCTTTGCATGTTTGATTGTCCGTCGGAGGGCATAGTGGGATTTCTTATAAGCATCCGGGTAAGAGTCCCGCTCCTTGAAAGCGGCAGCTCTACCCTTTAGCTCAGTGCGGATGTTGCCTGTAATCCATGGCTTCTGGTTGGGGTATGTACGTACGGTCACTGTGGGGACTACATCATCGATGCACTTATTGATGAAACCAGTGACTGATGTGGTGTACTCCTCAATGCTATCTGAAGAATCCTAGCAAAACAGTCCTGTAGCTTAGCATCTGCATCATCTGACCACTTTTTTATTAACCGAGTCACTGGTGCTTCCTGCTTTAGTTTTTGCTTATAATCATTGCTTCCTGTACCTTCCTGACTTTGAATTGCACATTTCTTCCCCTCTTCCATAGGGCTCCATCATCTGCAAATAATGACCTCCCAATATCCGGCCGTACCTGAGAGTAAACATAATTGAGAACAACAGAGGACTAATCACGCTCCCCTGTGGTGTACCGTTATCCACCAGGTAGCTGCCTGATAGAGACTTCCCCACCCTCACCTGGATAGACCTTCCAAACAGGAAATAATTTATCCAGTTGTACGTTCTTCCTCCTACCCCCATAACATCATGCTTGATTAAGAACCCCTCCTTACACATCATATCATACACCTTCTCCACATCAAAGAAGACAGCTTGCTTACCTGAGCCTTCCTGACCTCTGCTTCTAAGCAGAGCACTGGGTCCATAGTTTCCCTCCCCTTCCTGAATCCACTACTAAGGTAAACCAAATGAGGCAATCACGTTTACATGCACACTAATAATTCGATATTAAACTGATTATGATTACGAGAATAGCATTAGTCATGTAAACATCTTACTCTGCTTATCTTAATTGGCGTAAGGTCATAATCGAAGTAAGCATACGCAATCTTTCGAATTAGTAGGACATGTAAACAGTTTAATCGGCATTCCAGCAATGTATTTGATCTGCGCAAGTGCTAGCACCGAGTAGAGCAAGCCTTCCTCGATGCGCGAGTGAAGTGAGTTCGGAAAAACTGAAAGTATGCAACTTAGATTTATTTTTCACATATAAACATTATATGTCCGAACTCAGAATAACATGGTCACTGTGGTAGAACGTCTACATTGATTGGCGATTTTCTGCATTTATAAAAAGTCCCATCAGTAGCCTGATTTCAGGTGTCCATGTAAACAGGATTGTTAGGGAAATCTTTCTTCTTGCAACGCATGTAAACGTTTTAAACAAACAGTGCCTTGCAAAAGTATTCATCCCCCTTGGCGTTTTTCCTATATTGTTGCATTACAACCTGTAATTTAAATTGATTTTTATTTGGATTTCATGTAATGGACATACACAAAATAGTCCAAATTGGTGAAGTAAAATGAAAAAAAATAACTTATTTCAAATAATTCAAAAAAATGAATAACGGAAAAGTGGTGCATGCATATGTATTCACCCTCTTTGCTATGAAGCCCCTAAATACGATCTGGTGCAACCAATTACCTTCAGAAGTCACATAATTAGTTAAATAAAGTCCACCTGTGTGCAATCTAACTTTCACATGATCTGTCACATGATCTCAGTATTGCTACACCTGTTCCGAAAGGCCCCAGAGTCTTCAACACCACTAAGCAAGGGGCACCACCAAGCAAGCGGCACCATGAAGACCAAGAGAGGGCCGCCCACCAAAGCTCACAGACCAGGCAAGGAGGGCATTAATCAGAGAGGCAACAAAGAGACCAAAGCTAACCCTGAAGGAGCTGCAAAGCTCCACAGCGGATTTTGAAATATCTGTCCATGGGACCACTTTAAGCCGTACTCTCCACAGACCTGGGCTTTACGGAATTGTGGCCAGAAAAAAGCCATTGCTTAAAGAAATAAATAAGCAAACACGTTTGGTGTTCGCCAAAAGGCATGTGGGAGACTCCCCAAACATATGGAAGAAGGTACTCTGGTCAGATGAGACAAAAATTGAGCTTTTTGGCCATCAAGGAAAACGCTATTTCTGGCGCAAACCCAACAACCCTCATCACCCCGAGAACACCATCCTCACAGTGAAGCATGGTGGTGGCAGCATCATGCTGTGGGGATGTTTTTCATCGGCAGGGACTGGGAAACTGTTCAGAATTGAAGGAATGATGGATGGCGCTAAATACAGGGAAAGTCTTGAGGTAAACCTGTTTCAGTCTTCCAGAGAATTGAGACTGGGACGGAGGTTCACCTTCCAGCAGGACAATGACCCTAAGCATACTGCTAAAGCAACACTCAAGTGGTTTAAGGGGAAACATTTAAATGTCTAGGAATAGCCTAGTCAAAGCCCAGACCTCAATCCAATGAGAATCTGTGGTATGATTGCTGTACACCAGCGGAATCCATCCAACTTGAAGGAGCTGGAGCAGTTTTGCCTTGAAGAATGGGCAAAAATCCCAGTGGCTAGATGTGCCAAGCTTATAGAGATATTCCCCAAGAGACTTGCAGCTGTAATTGCTACAAAAGGTGGCTCTACAAAGTATTGACTTTGGGGGGGGTGAATAGTTATGCACGCTCACGTTTTCTGTTTTTTTGTCTTATTTCTTGTTTGTTTCACAATTTTTTGTTGTTGTTTAAATCATTCACCCCCCCCAAAAAAATCATTTGAATTCCAGGTTGTAAGGCAACAAAATAGGAAAATTGCCAAGGGGGGTGAATACTTCCGCAAGCCACTGTATTAACCTGACTATCCACAATAATCACATTATTGTTTGCATGTAACCGTGCTCAGTGGACATGTAGGCAGAGGGGTTTTAGATGGCCCTATAACATTTCAAATGATAGCATTACTGACCCAGCCTGGATCTTCAAAAATCTTCAAAAGTTCATAAATAAATAATACATTTGTCATATCATACATTGGAACCATTTACGGATTCATCTTCCTACATCATTGGTTATTTTTTATTGGAGAATGAATAATAATAATCTTTATAATCATTTTGTGGTAGTCAGTGTAACACAGAGACCTCATCATTTTATTGCAAACTCATCACAATAATTGCACTTACATTTATCATAGTGTGGGAAATAGTAAGTAAATAGGACAATTCATTCCAATCCAAAAAACACACACAACACAACAGGCAAATACTTCAAAATGTGAACGTTGTGTTTATTCATACTCCTTTATAACAAATGATTCAGATATGCACTTTGTTTTTTTGCACAAAATGATTTCCCAAAATAGAATATTGGCACAGTGTAAGGGCTCTCAGCTTTCCACTTTAACATTTCAATTAGAAAAAAATAGTAATAAAATAAACATAAACGGTGTAGCTAATACAAAAAAAGTAGCCAAGGCAGGTATCTCGCTCTTATTTCCCACCCACATGTAGTGGTATGTTTTGGCATACGTGCTCGAACCGCCAATGCTTTTCACTTAAAATGAGAGTTAAGAAAAATATATAGTTGGTTCCTCACCCCATTCACCCCAAAAATAAAATACCTACTGTCTCTGGTTTGAGATATACAAGCATCAGAACATCAGGCGAACACACAGCATTGACAGTATGGACATTAAGCTGCAAATGAAATTACATGGTGCAGTGCTTAATTTTTCCATTATTTTTGGATAGTGGCATATAGCTACAGTCGGGGAAAAAAGTATTTAGTCAGCTCCTACGAAGGAGTGGCTTCGTAAGAAGCATTTCAAGGTCCTGGAGTGGCCTAGCCAGTCTCCAGATCTCAACCCCATAGAAAATCTTTGGAGGGAGTTGAAAGTCCGTGTTGCCCAGCGACAGCCCCAAAACATCACTGCTCTAGAGGAGATCTGCATGAAGGAATGGGCCAAAACACCAGCAACAGTGTGTGAAAACCTTGTGAAGACTTACAGAAAACGTTTGACCTGTGTCATTGCCAACAAAGGGTATATAACAAAGTATTGAGAAACTTTTGTTATTGACCAAATACTTATTTTCCACCATAATTTGCAAATAAATTCATTAAAAATCATACAATGTGATTTTCTGGATTTTTTTCTCTCATTATGTCTGTCATAGTTGACGTGTACCTATGATGGAAATTACAGGCCTCTCTCATCTTTTTAAGTGGGAGAACTTGCACAATTGGTGGCTGACTAAATACTTTTTCCCCCCACTGTACATCTACAAAACAGATGGGTCTGTGATGTGGACTTCAAAATAAAAAAAATTGAAGTATGTAAGCATCTGACAAATGTTGATGTAAATGTCCCATTAATCAATACATTGAAGCAACCTTTCCATACAACTTCAGCAACACTGAAAATAGATTGTTAGCTTTTTCTTCTTATTTGGAACATTGTCATCAACTGAGGAAATGAAGAACATAAATAGAAAAACAGTAACTGAACAAATCAAAGTGTTGCTTAATTGTCTCTCCCAAACACAATAAAAACAGAATATTTTTCTTACACATTATGAAAATATAAACAATTATTGTAAAATGTTCTCCCTCTTTATAGTATAGCAATAGTATTCCTCACATATACAATGGAGCAACCATAAAATAGTTCCTCGTAAAATACTGACTGGTCTTTCAATGGTTAAAGGGTTATTTCGATGCCCTCCCCTGGAAAATATAACACTGTAAAATACAATGAAAAAGGACCATTTCAAACAGCATACAGTATTTCAAGCAGGAACACATAGTAAACATTTGTACTGTATCAACCACGGAAGTCTTTGTAATTGCTAGTATAAAAAGCCAGATATGGTGTGGGCCTACACTGTAGGCTAAGAAGACATCTGCACACAAAACGATCTGTGTTTCCCCTTAGGTTGACTTGCTTTGGACAATAGCTGTTTTGTGCAAACCCAGTAGGAACATAAAGGATTTGAATGGGATCCTGCAGCAACTGTAATTCAAGAGGAGCAAAAGGTATGACCACCAGATGGAGCCCAAAAGCCATTAAAGAGATCGAAAGACCGCAAAAACCTCTGACTTCAGTTATTGGTGCCAGTAAGGACCCACAAACATCTCTTTACTATGGCAACACTTCACATGTAAGCGTCCATCTTGTGACAGTGGTAGTTTAGCATTTTCCATGAGCAGTTTGGAAAGGGAAGCACACTTTTTACAAGCACAGTCTTTTTCTTAGTGTAGTAAGAAGGCACTTTCGATAGTAAGGATGCAGCTTAGAAGTCTCCCATTTTTTGTGGAAGCAAAGATAACATCATAGCACCGACATATGGCATATTTATAAGTTACAAACATTGTTTACAATAAAGGGACTCTCAATTACTGTATTTTCCCTTATTGCTCTTTCTTTTTAACACAGCATTACTTTAAGTGTGCAACATAAAAATATATAAAACCTTTAGGAAGCCAAACAAATGAATGAAACATTAGGTACAGCTGACATTTGTAACATTATGTATAACTGAAATTGATTACCTAATTTGCATTTAGGGATATTACATACTTAAAGCTCCAAACTCATTTCAGCCTGTCTCCAGGGGGCACTAGAGTAACATCTGCTATTGTCAATAGTCCAGGTATTGGCACGGTAAACAGTTATGTCTTTAGGAGCTCTATACTCAGTAATGGAGCACTAACTTCTATATCGTACAGTGTTATAGAAGATAATGTTACATCTACTAAATCCACTGGAAGAATAATCTATTCTAGATGTCAGATCCAATCGGAGCCCTTGCCTTTGCCCGACTTGCTGCTGCTATTGCTGCTGCTTCCCCTGTCGGCCTTGCTGGAGGTGTGCTTGGAGGCTTGCCAGTGCTTGCGGTCACGCTGGGGCTTGCCGGGGTTGCTGTGGCCCTGCTGCTGGCTGTAGACCTGGATGGCAGCCTCCAGCCGGTCCTGGGCCTGCCGAATCTCACTCTGGAGGGCGCCGCCAGCGTCCCCCACTACACCTGACGATGGGAAGTTGTCCTCGTTGCTGGTGTACTGCCGGCGCTCCTCCTGGGTGATGTTGGCGCGGTTCTGCCGGCACGCCATCTTGGCGTTGCTCGGGTCTGTGAAGGCCAGCTGCCCGTCGGGCGCCACAGTCGGCACCAGCAGCATTGGCGGCTTGACGGCAATGTTGTAGCCCGGTGGCGCTGACGGGGCTTTCCAGGAGAAGGGGTAGCTGCCGTAACCTTGGCCCCCCACTCTTGCTCCTCCGTCATGGAGAGAAGGCAGCCCCCCGGGACCCCTGCCACCCCCCAGGCCGTACAGGTCCTCCTCGGAGAGTGGTCTGCGGCGGAAGCGCAGGATGTCGCAGATGGTGCCCACGCCCAGATGAAGCATCTCCCACATGTTGAGCACCAGGCACAGCAGCGACACAGCGTACATGATGAGCAGGAAGATGGTCTTCTCGGTGGGGCGTGACACAAAGCAGTCCACACTGTGTGGGCATGGCCGGCCCGAGCACACGTAGATGGAGGGCACTGCCAGGCCATAGAGGGCGTACTGCCCTCCCAGGAAGGCCACCTCCAGCATGGAGCGTGCCAGCAGCTGCAGCACGTAAATGCGCATCAGCCCGTCCTCCTTGATGCGCTGGCGTCCATCGTGGCGCACCTTGTCTTTCTCCTGGCCGCCTTTCCCCTGAACTCCTCTGCCGCCCCCGCCTCCTCCTCCCCCGCCGCCTCCCCCTGTCTCGCTCTCCACATCGGGCACCTCGTAGATCATGGGGTCCTCCTCCTGGTCGCCCTCGGCCTCCTCCATGCCCCGGTGTTGCCTCCTGGCACCGAAGTAGAGCTTCCTGGGCCTGCGCTGGGACAGTCCTCCTCCCCCACTTCCCCCTCCACTCTCAGCTCTCTCCTCACGCCGTGCAATCTTATTGACGGCGTAGCCGAGGTACATGAGCGAAGGCGTGGCCACCAGGATGATCTGAAAGACCCAGAAGCGGACGTGCGAGAGCGGTGCGAAGGCGTCGTAGCAGACGTTCTCGCAGCCCGGCTGGCCCGAGTTGCACACAAACTTGCTCTGTTCGTCGTAGTAGATGGACTCGCCCCCCACAGCTGTAAGGACGATGCGGAAGACGATGAGCACGGTAAGCCAGATCTTGCCCACAAAGGTGGAGTGGTTGTGGATTTCCTCCAGCAGGCGTGTCAGGAAGCTCCAGCTCATGGTGGTGGGAGTCTGGGGAATAGAGAGAAAGAGAGGAAATCCCTCTTCTGCTCACAAATGGCCCTCTGTGGAAGATAAGGAAGAAGGGGGGTTCAGAAGCTTTAATACTGCTCAGGTTAAAACAGACACAGTGAGACCATAAATACAATTGTTTGACACATGAAAGCAATTCAGGATCAGGATAAAAATCTATATTTTCATATCAGCCTCGTGGCATAAGGTGCGATGGAATAGCGTTTATGTAAAATACAGTACATCGTCAGGCCACAGGTGTTGCCACAAGTGTTCAGAGAGTTAAACCGGTACATATGAAACAGTGGTCATCCAGGTAATGTGAAATTCACTATCTATCAGTGGGGTTGGATCAGAAATTTCCACTACAAATAAGGACATAAGATAAAGACAGAGCGTGAAGACAAACGATCCTGGAACATCTGCCTGTGTGCCGTCCAGACAGAGTGGTGATGGATTTGGCACTTGGTGCTCCTTTGTGTGTGTGTGTGTGTGTGTGTGTGTGTGTGTGTGTGTGTGTGTGTGTGTGTGTGTGTGTGTGTGTGTGTGCGTGGGCTATGTTGGAGCCCTACATTTTTCAACTGTGCCCCCCCCCACCCACCCAAAGACAGGGGTAGAAAAATGAGCATCTCTCCATTGAAGACATGCTTACAATTATTCAGGGCGGAGTGCCAGCCATACGTTATGGCCATGTGAAAATATGCACAGACCACCCCTCTGAATCGTACAGAGAAATTTTACTCAGTCCCTGATTTACATGGGAACAATAGAAAAAAAGCAGTGGAACTGGCTTCGAGGTCCAGAGTTGAGTTTGAGGGGCCTAGTCCATTGGATGTTTGCAGGGTTGGGCAGTATCCAGATTTCCATACCATTCCTGTACCATACTGGGGTATACGGTAGCCTATTATTCGGTTTTGCTAACAAATGCTAACAAAGTACTTGCGAATTCCCATAGCGGATGCTAGCTAAATGCTAACAAGCGCAAGCGAACGTTAAATAAATGGACAGACAATCCAGCTCATAAAGTTATACAACTATCTCAAAAGGCTACTCACACTTGATCCAGAAGGGGATTGATTGTCTCTGCTGTGACCAAGAAGCTTGATATTGCAAGCTATGCACCTAACGTTATAGCTAGCAAGTTAGCAAACCAAATGCATAGCTGGAGCCTTGAGGTGGAGAAATTGTATTTGGCACATCTTAGATAGTTCATTGATAGTTATTAGCTGGTAAACATTAGTATTGAATTTCAAGTGTAACTTGATCTCCTCTCCTGTTCTGCTCAACAGTGGATCGTCATGTCACCTTGAAAATCATACTGTCAGTACCCTGGTATACGGTTTATACGGTATACCACCCAAGCCTAGATGTCCGCATTCCCACATAAGCCTAGATCATCAAACATTACAATGGGGTTGGAATGTGTGGGTTGAATGTACACCATATGCACAATGACATAAAAGCAACATAGTCGTGGTGAGATGTAGCAGACATGAGGCTTGGAACTTGCTTAAATAATAGCTGCATGTGACTAAACGTGCCAAATGGCATAAAGATGAGAATCTCAAACAATGCTGATGTGTCTTCATAGGGATGAATTTCTGGAATAAAGCACACTACATAAATTGAGCCTTCTAATCTGCACATCAGAGTGTTTTTATGGATTACGATGTTGTCTGTAGAAAAAACAGACCTCCATAAACATGAAGCAGTCAGCTGCCAGAGGCATGGCTTTTTATGGTCTGCAATATATGGACCAGAATAAAAAAAAAACAGGCACAACACAGAATTCCATATTTAACATTTGATGTCTCCAGGAATGCCTGCCAAATTGTAATCTGGAACATATTTGGTGTGTTAACAAACAAGAGCACACACTCATGCGCTCTCGAACTCGCAAAACACACACATGCGCGAACTGCGACACGCACGCATGCACGGACACATTCTCTGTCACAGACTCAAAACAAACAAACCTTTAATTCATATCAAAATAGTGTCAATCCAGCTAACTTTGATAAGCAACCAGAAATAACTATAGATTTTCTGGTTCATTCTCAAAGCTAAACTTAGCTATGTGTTCTTGTTTGTTTAATCAATTAGACCATGCCTATTTCCGGATGATCTTTTAAAAAATAAAACGTTTTATGAGAATATTTAGTTAGCTGGCTAACTCCTTGATCTTGCTTTGTAGTGTACCCTTCAGGTTGAACCATGACTTAACAACTCTGGCTCACCAGGAGAAATCCAAGACCATGTTGAATAATTTTTTTGAAGGATATAGTAACTTATCCTAACATCAATAGCAAAAAGTAATTGGAAATCATGTTCTAACTTTTTTTCCATTATAAATCAATAATTGCCATATAAATCTACTGTAAATCTAATGTAAATAACCTTTAGTTCAGGGGTAGGCAACTAGACTCAGCTGCAAGCCAGCAACTAGACTCAGCTGCAAGCCAATTTTATTGGAGCGGATGGTCAGAGGGCCGGGACATTATAATTGAAACTGCAAACTGACCACAACTAAGCCCAAAAAGGCAACTGACACCATCTAATTCCACCTCCAGAAATGAATTCAATAACATATTGGTAAAATGATTTGTTTAAATTATTATAACATATTGGACCATGCAGATAGCCTATGCATTGTCCATATGATCAGGTATGCTATTAGCAATAAGTATTATCAGCTGTAGCCCAACTTATGCAGCATAGTGGCTATAAATAGGCTGAAACATGGTGTTGCCTATCTGCATATTGGGCTAATCATTAGCTAGATCCCAAATGTGATCTTTTAACTACCGGTAGTTACCATCCTATTGATGCTTTTATGTCCCAAAAAACATGCATAAACACAGTGAAGATATTAGCTGTTAGGGTAACTTGGGGTAATACGCCCCCTTCCTGTACTTCTCATAAAATCATAAAATGACGTGAATTCACAATTCAGATATGGTCCCTTGTATGACCCTTTGAAATGTATTGAGTCAATAGGTATTCAACCCCTTTGTTATGGCAAGCCTAAATATGTTCAGGAGTAAACATTTGCTCAACAAGTCACATAATAAGTTGCATGGACTGTGTGCAATATTAGTGTTTAACATGATTTTTGAATGACTACCTCATCTCTGTACCCCACACATATAATAATTATTATCTGTAAGGCCCCTTAGTTGAGCAGTGAATTTCAAACAGATTCAAACACAAAGACCAGGGAGGTCCAATGGTAGATCGGTAAAAAGAACAAAAAGCAGACAATGAATATCCCTTTGAGCATGGAGAAGTTAATTACACTTTGTATGGTGTATTAATACACCCAGTTACTACAAAGATACAGGCGTCCTTCCTAACTCAGTTGCCAGAGAGGAAGGAAACCGCTGAAGGATTTCACCATGAGGCAATGGTGACTTTAAAACAGTTACAGAGTTTAATGGCTATGATAGGTGAAAACTGAGAATGGATCAACAACATTGTAGTTACTCCACAATACTAACCTAAAGGACAGAGTGAAAAGAAGGATGGAAGCCTGTACAGAATAAAAATATTCCAAAACATACATCCTGTTTGCAACAAGGCACTGAAGTAAAACTGCAACAAATGTGGCAAAGACATAACTTTGTCCTAAATACAAAGCGTTAGGCTATGTTTGGGGCAAATCCAACACAACACATTACTGAGTACCACTCTTCATATTTTCAAGCATGGTGGTGGCTGCATCATGTTATGGGTATGCTTGTCAGCGGCAAGGACTAGGGAGTTATTTAGGATACAAATAAATGGAATATAGCTAAGCACAGGCAAAATCCTAGAGGAAAATCTGGTTCAGTCTGCTTTCCAACAGACACTGGGAGACAAATTCACTTTTCAGCTGGACAATAACCTTAAACACAAATATAAACTGGAGTTGCTTACCAAGATGACACTGAATGTTCCTGAGTGGCCTAGTTATAGTTTTGACTTAAATCGGCTTGAAAATCTAATGCAAGACTTGAAAATGGCTGTCGAGTAATGATCATCAACCAACTTGACAGAGCTTGAAGAATTTCTTAAATAATAATTTTGTACAATCCAGGTGTGCAACGCTCAGAGACTTACCCAGAAAGACTCAGCTGTAATCGCTGCCAAAGGTGATTCTAACATGTATTGACTCAGGGGTGTGAATACTTATGTAAATGAGATATCTCTGTATTTCATTTTCAATAAATTTGCAAAAATGTCTAAAAACATGTTTTCACTTTGTCATTATGGGGTATTGTGTGTGAATGGGTGAGAAAAACATCATATTTAATAAATTTTGAATTCAGGCTGTAACGCAACAAAATGTGGAATAAGTCAAGGGGTATGAATACTTTCTGAAGGCACTATACATAAACCATTGGTATGACCGCTAGGGGGCACTGCAGTTCAATCTACCGCAGTTATGGCTACCAAACAGACGGTGCTCACCTTACTGCTGTCCCCCACCCACTCAGCAACGATGGTAGTTAATGCCGTTTTAGGTTCTCTGCTGTGTATCTCGCCTCCATGTTCTCAGTTGTCAGTACATGGGACTTCATGTCTCACTTCTTTCTCATCGATGTGATGGCTCGTTGCAGTGATGTACGACAGCGTGTTCATAGACGTCCAACAATCTGTTGTCAACGTGGCGTATAGTGTTTGAGAGCTAGCACTTTGTTCTTGCAGAGCATTCATTGTACCATTTCTCTATCCAGGCCATCACGGTTTTTCCACATGGCATCTTGTAGTCTGGTTCTAGATATGCCATCATGGCAGTGAAGCCGACATCCTCTACTATAAACAATGACTGCATATCAACTGTAATCATTTCTGTTATCAACGCTGTGATTCTCTCACTCTGTCCCTTATCGCACTGCTGCCAGCAACGGGTTGGGTCTCACGGTGACTCCCTTTCAGATGGTTAAGCATTGCACCTGTACTGCCACTGTAGCTCAATTCCACCTTGCAAAGTTAGCATTTATTTAACC